CCCGAGCCGCGCGCGCGAAAAAAAAGGTCGCGCGCGCGACTCACGGGGGCCACAAGGGCCGCGCGAGAAGGACTAGGGGGGGGGGGGGGAGCGCGCTTCGGGGAGAGAAGGGCGCGCTCCGGGCAGCGAAAATTTTGTGGGTGGGCCATTAAACGACGGTCCTTAGGAAGGACCCGCTCTATACCATGTTGAGTTGAGAGAGGAATGATGTGCACTATGAAATGAAACAAGTACAAGTACCAACCCTAATTGGGTTGTACCCCATATGGGCTACCCCACTACAGCCTACAATGCATGCATCAGCTAAATATAATCTGACAGGGCGGCCTCTACCTCGGAAGGGCGGTGTTGAAGAACAACGTCTTCGTCCTCGATTTCATCCCCGACCTGGGTACTGCAGATAGCGACGCCATCGTCAACTTCGCCGATTGGACACATCCCCCGGATCTCGATCCCGACTTCAGCCCGGGAGGCTTCTGGTACTCGCACACCATACCTGAAGCAGAACAAACACGCGCATTAGCAACGATTCAACAATCGGCAGCAGCAGAGACAACATCGGCAGCAGCAGAAACAACATCATCAGCAGCAACAACATCGGCAGCAGAAGAAACAACATCAGCAGCAGCAACATCATCGGCAGCAGCAGGACCAACGACACCAATCCCCGTCGACGAAGCACCACCAACACCCGCACAGCAGCTGAACCCGACTCAACGAGAAGTCCACAGAAGCGCACACTTCGTCGCCAGCTTCTACTCCAACTCTGACGCGTATCAACGCTCACCCGGACACCGCGCTCCTGAAGACATCTGGCACGCACGCACAGGACATCCAAGCAACACAGTGTTAAATAACACAATTCGAGCAGGAGTTCTAGACAAGGACTCGCTACTACTACCCGACGGCAGAGAACTTCAACGTGCACGAGGAACTTGCCTTATCTGCCCCGAAGCCGACTTACCCCATCGACCGTTTTCTTCTCACCACAACCCAAGCACACCTACATACGCACCACTCGAGAAGGTGTACAGCGACATCCTCTACAATCGCGAACCAGGACAAGTCACCTACAACTATACGATTACCTTCATCGACGCCGCCACTCGATATGTCTGGCATCTAAACCTACCAAGCCGCGACATGGCACTCGCAGCGTTCGTCGCCTGGCTACCAGTAGCAGAACGAGAGTCGGGAGCACAGCTGAAAAGCTTCCAGTCAGACGGAGGAGGAGAATACACCTCTCAGCGCTTCAAGCAGTACCTGGCGGAAAGAGGAATCAAGCAACTCCTCTCCCTTCCCTACGCCCATCAGCAGCAAGGTGTCGCAGAAAGAATGAACAGGACTCTGCAGAACAGCATGCGCAAACTGTTACGTGGCATGCGGCTACCCAACCACCAGTGGCCTGCAGCAATGGACCATGCTGTCATGCTGCACAACTTGCTGTCGTCGTCGTCACTCCCGAACAACGCATCACCGCACCTGCTGTGGACAAGGAAGCAGGGCAGCACAAAAATGTTACGAGTTTTCGGGTGCATGGTACAGTACCGACCCCCAGAAGCACGAGCGGGAAGATTTTCACAACGGGCACAGTGGGGACTACACCTCGGCATCGAGAAAAATTACAACGCGTGGAAAATCTTCGACGTCCACTCAAAGGAAACAGTAGCAGCACGTGATGTGATCTTCTACGAGCGACTCACCCTTCAAACGTACCTCGCCAACTTGCACGAGAATCAAAACCCCACAGGTGGCTTTCGCGGTGACCGAACCTTCGCCTCAGCAGCGGACGAAGCAAACATGGATGAACAGAACGTCGACAACACATCGGAAGAAGCCGGACCTCTCCCGTTCTGCTCCGTCAACGTGCCCATGGACGAAGAAAATCCTCGCGACAGTGCCAACGCCGAAGTCTTCTATCACTTCGCCGACAACGGTTACGTAACACCTGCGACAGTCAACACAAATGAAGCAGAACGGATAGGGCCAAATTTCATACCCGATCCAGAAGCAGGAGACGAAGCAGCTTATCCCGAGGATCCAACACTCCCCCGATACTCACAGACTGGGCTGCAAATCCTCGGCCTCGTCACCGCAGTGCACGGCAACGCGCTTCCTAAGGAGCCTGCGACGGTTCAGCAGGCTCTGGGGGGGGAACACAGGGAGAAATGGCGTGAAGCCATGGACAGAGAACTAAAGGCATTGGAGGAACGCAACACCTGGAAGGTCGTTCCCGCAAGCGTGGCAAGGAACAAGACTATTCTCACCGGGAAATGGGTCTTCCGCATCAAAACGAAAGCAGACGGCACGATCGAGAAATTCAAAGCACGCTGGGTCGTGCGTGGATTCGATCAGGAGCAAGGACGAGACTTCACCGAGACATTCGCCCCAGTCAGTCGACATACCTCTCTCCGAATCCTTCTCGCCGTCGCCGCCATGAAGAAGAAGAAGCTGCGACAAATTGATGTCGCCAATGCATTCCTCTACGCACCCGTCGACGCCGAAATCTTCGTCGAACTCCCACACGGTACCCACGGAAACCCCAATCAGATCTGTCAACTACTGAAATCTCTCTACGGAATCAAACAAGCACCGCGGCTGTGGCAACAGCACCTACACACCCGCCTTACTCGCATCGGATTTCGTCAACTACCTCACAACCAAGGGATGTACCGACTCACCAAAGACGCAGACTACATCCTGCTGATAGTCTATGTTGACGACTTGCTCTACATCGGCTCCACCGACGACGTCACCACCTGGTTCAAAGGGGAGCTGCATAAGGACCTCACGCTCACGGTCTCTTCTACCGTCACGCAGTACCTCGGGCTCAACATCCGCGAAGAAGAAAATGCAATCTATCTAAGCGCCGAGAAATACGCCGACACGATCGCCAAGCGTTTTTCGCTCACACCTACCGCTATCGCCACGCCATACCGCTACACGGCAGGAGATGACAAAGGAAATTCTGCTCCACTCAAAGCTGCCGGAATACGAGACTACCAGAGGAAACTGGGCTGCCTCCTCTTCGCAGCCGTCACCTTTCGTCCGGATCTATCCTACTCCGCAAGCCAACTCGCTACCTACCTCAAGAAACCTGAAGCAGAGCACCTGGCGGAGCTCGATCGCGTACTGCACTATTTCGTGAGCACGCCGACGATCGGCCTGACATACTACAAGAACGAAGCTACGTCAACGAAACTAATCGGCTACGTCGATGCCGACCATGCCGGCGATTCAGATAACAGGCGCTCTCGCACTGGCTATGTCTATCGTCTAGAGCCTATCGGACCTATCTCCTGGCAGTCGAGTAAGCAGGAACTAATCGCTCTCTCCTCAGCTGAAGCAGAATATATCGCCCTTTGCTCAGCCACCAAGGAAGGACTCTACCTTCGCGAGCTGCTGGAAGAAGCAAAGTTAGCCGAGTTACCCAACTTCACCTTGTTCTGCGACAACCAATCCGCAATTCGCATCGCCAACAAGAGCGGATTCGCGAACAGAACGAAGCATATCGCCCTACGATACTTCTTCGTGAAAGACGAAATCGAGAAAGGGAAACTCGATCTATCCTACTGTCTCACGTCCGAGATGGCAGCCGACTACTTGACCAAGAAACTTGGAAAACAGAAGTTCGAGTACTGCATGCTGCTGACTGGACAAAGCCACGTCACCATCAGCGACACTCCAGAAGCGAAGGGGAGTGTTGGGAACAAATAAGTTAAGCGCCTCTGTCGTGTCGAAACTCAGGACACAAAGCGAAGAAGTCCAAATCGAAGCATCGCGAGTCAACCCTCGGAGGTTAGGGTAACCGCCTGGAGGTTACGCGAAGGTCAAAGGTCAGCGACCTTTGACTTGACCAATACAGCGCGACAGCAAGGACACACAACTGACTCGACATTGAGCAGTTGCCCGAGTCGCACTGTATCGAATCGCAACAGCAAGGTAGTTTAATTACATCTATTCGTATTCCTTGTACTCTTATATAAAGCTTTGTGTTTGCCTGTTTTAATTAACTTACTTTGCCCTCACATTCCAGCGCAAGGTGGTTCAAGGCTTTCTTATTCAACGCTTCCGCTATTACATCATCCTACTCAAACTTTAACTCTACAAAGATCCTAGGGCACCTCAACCCAACAAATTGATTGTTCTGCCCATTACCATTTGCGTTTACATTTTCTCAGAGGTATTTTCTGCTAGCATACTAGAGAAAGCACTGGATTTGTTTTTTCTCAAATCCTCGGGTGCTCCAAACTCAATGAGTTGCCCAAGTTCCAAGACAAGAACCTGAAAAGAGGGGATTGATTGTGGATAAACCAGAATATATAAGTTTTTTAGCAGGTAAGACGTGTGCACCAAGGGAGGACACGCGTAAGGTAGGTGTGGGGTGTGCGTGCGTAGGGTGTTGGCATGAAGGGTGTGCGCACATGCACTCACAGACGTTGGCATGAAGGGTGTGCGCGCATGCACTCACAGACGTTGGCATTAAGGGTGTGCGCACATGCACTCACAGACGTTGGCATTAAGGGTGTGCGCACATGCACTCACAGACATTGGCATGAAGGGTGTGCGCACATGCACTCACAGACGTTGGCATGAAGGGTGTACGCACATGCACTCACAGACGTTGGCATGAAGGGTGTGCGCACATGCACTCACAGACGTTGGCATTAAGGGTGTGCGCACATGCACTCACAGACGTTGGCATGAAGGGTGTGCGCACATGCACTCACAGACGTTGGCATGAAGGGTGTGCGCACATGCACTCACAGACGTTGGCATGAAGGGTGTGCGCGCATGCACTCACAGACGTTGGCATGAAGGGTGTGCGCGCATGCACTCACAGACGTTGGCATGAAGGGTGTGCGCACATGCACTCACAGACGTTGGCATGAAGGGTGTGCGCGCATGCACTCACAGACGTTGGCATGAAGGGTGTGCGCACATGCACTCACAGACGTTGGCATTAAGGGTGTGCGCGCATGCACTCACAGACGTTGGCATTAAGGGTGTGCGCACATGCACTCACAGACGTTGGCATGAAGGGTGTGCGCGCACACATCACATGGACGTGAGCAGGAGGCACACACAACGCTCTTCTGACTTGCCTGGTCGTAATCAAGAACGGTCGAGAGGCGGTGTGCGATGGTGATGACGGTGCTATCCTTAAATGACTCAAGTAGAATGGCTTTAATTACTGCATCGCTCTCCCCATCCATGCTCGCTGTCGCTTCATCCATCAGCAACACGCGTGTCGATGCAAGCAAAGCTCTGCATAGAAATCAAATACCATCAGAAAGCAAGAGAGAGAGAGAGAAAAAAACCGAATAAAGACTGAAACCAATAATAACAGTATCACCGTGTAGTATTCTGAGACAGAGATAAGACCTGCACTGTGATTGACCCCAAAATCATTCCCTTGGCGGTACCGTGCGAGGCAGAGAAGCTGCTTCTGCCCCAGGGAGAGGTTCCCACCGCCCTGAGCCAGGGCACCATCCAGCCCGCCCAGCAGCCCCGCCACCAGCGGCTTTAGGCGCACCGTTGCCAGCACCGACCACAGGGCCTCGTCACTGTGCTGCCTGTGAATGGGGGAATGGGCGGTGGTGAGGTGGGGTGTGGGAGGATGAATGGACTTTTGAGTTGACTAAACAGTTAGTCACCAGCAGCTTCAGGAGCACCGTTGCCAGCACCAACCACAGGGCCTCGTCACTGTGCTGCCTGTGATGGGGCATGGGGGGTGGTGAGGTGGGGTATGGAAGGGTGCAAGTGATTTCTGAGTTGACTGAAAAGCGGCCACCAGCGGCTTTACGCGCACCGTTGCCAGTACTGCCGTGCTCACAGGGACTCGTCATTGTGGAGGCTGTGATAGGGGAACGAGAGGGATAAAGCACAGGATGGGAGGGAATGGGGGGTGCGAAACGGGGTTCGGGAGGGTGACTGTGCACAAGAGGAGAGGCTTAACGTGTGAGGGAGAGTGACACATGTGAGGTGCGGCGAGAAGATGAACAGCTGGAAAAAATGCCACAAAAAGGCCACAAAAAGGGCACAAAGTTTCAATAGCGTCCCGTCCCTGGTTCGTGATCAGAAAGAGGAGTCATACCCCATTGGGTCAAGGTTGAATCGCAGTGACTGGCTGAAAAGAACCGGCTCTTGAGGAATGGCCACCACCTGCAACAGGGGAGACCGATAAAAACCAGGACAAGGAATCGAGAAAGGCAATATGTACTTATAACTTCCTAGAAGGCTACCAGTAGATGGGGAAAAAAACTACTTGGCAGGATCAGGTGTTTGAGTCAACTCAAGAATGTTACTTTGTTGCTTTCCTTATTCCGCAGGGTTGCGAGTACATTTTAAGCCGAGTCAAGAAAGTTACTTTGCTGCTTAACTTTCCTTGCTTCGCAGGGGTAGCGACGGGCAGCGATGCAATGCTAACATCATCGATACAGATGCCGCCTGAAGACGCTTCCACCAACCGCAGCAGATGGAGGAAATGCTGCTTGTCATGTCACTGCTCACCTTACTGCCACGTGAAATGAGGGTATTTCTGAGACGTCTCAAAAACACCCTCATATCACGTGTAGGAAATGCTACTTGTCATTGCTTACCTTCCTACAATGCTTACCTTACTGCGCAGGGTAGTGAGGGGCAGCGATGCAATGTCCACATCATCAATGTGAATGCTCCCTGAAGACGCTTCCACCAACCGCAGCAGATGGAGGAAATGCTACTTGTCATGTCACTGCTTACCTTACTGCCACGTGAAATGAGGGTATATCTGAGACGTCTCAAAAACACCCTCATATCACGTGTAGGAAATGCCACTTGTCATTACTTACCTTCCTACAATGCTTACCTTACTGCGCAGGGTAGTGAGGGGCAGCGATGCAATGTCCACATCATCAATGTGTATGCTCCCTGAAGACGCTTCCACCAACCGCAGCAGATGGAGGAAATGCTACTTGTCATGTCACTACTTACCTTGCTTCTCAGGGTGGCGAGTGGCAGCGATGCAATGTCCACCTCATCGATGCAGATGCTGCCTGAAGAGGCTTCCACCAACCGCAGCAGCGCGAGCATGAGGGTGGACTTGCCGGCGCCTGATAGGTTGAGACATGGCAGACACATAGACCACACACAACAGCCAGCCAGCACAGTCTCTCAAGTCTTATTACAGAGGTAGTTGGGCATGAATTACAGAAGCCCGGAAAGCCCTCATATCAAGTACACTGGAACTTCCTCCTTCAACCAGCCCAATTATGGTACGTTGGACTGCAGTGCAGAGGCAGCCAGCCCCACATTGCCTCACCTGTTCGCCTCACCACACCGCACTGCCTCACCTGTTCGCCCCACCACACCGCACTGTCTCACCTGTTCGCCCCACCACACCGCACTTCTCTCCCCCTGCGAGCCGAAAGCTCAATCCGCGCAGCACTGCCAGCCCCGTGCTGCCATACCGCACTGTCAGCTGCTCCACTCGCACTGCCCCTGCTGACGGCCACGGTGAGCTAAGGGTGATTCCATCGGCCGTCAGTGCTGACGGCCAGGGTGAGCTAAGGGTGATTCCACTGTACCCCTCCTCCTTGCTGTTTGGTGCTGCATCGGTGGCTTGGCAGTGGGTGGAAGGCGGATTGTGAGAGAATAGTGGCTTAAAGGGCAGGCGCCTGATTGCTGTTTGCAGTGCTCCGAACAGCAAGCTGGGCATGGAGGATTTGGTGGTGGGGTCTTGCTGCTGCTGCTGCTGCTGCTGCTGCTGCTGCTGCTGCCACTTGTGCTGCTGCTGCTGCTGCTGCTGCTGCTGCTGCTGCTGCCACTTGTGCTGCTGCTGCTTGAGTTTACTTTTAGCAGGTGAGGGCTCTTCCCCTGGCAGCGTGGTGTACTCGAGTGTGCGCTCAACACTGGTGAACTGCCATGGATGGGGTGTCAGAGGGGCAGGGAGAAAACAATGCAGGATGTTGAAATTAGATGTGTGTCGTCAAGATGCATCGCACAAGGCGCTGAGACAGCAGATGGGTGCTTCCCTTTCAGCAGGCTGTGCAAATGGAGCGACTATGATTTCCTGGTTCCCACCAATCCATGGTGCTGCTTCGTTCATCCATTTTCTCTATTCCCTCACACCCATGAACACCACAACCATCGCAACCCAGCCCCCTCCCCCCTCACCGTGTTCTCGAGCTCCATGCCGTGTCCCCTCACCTCACCATGAACATCACAACCATCACACCCCTGACCGTCCCTCCCCTCGCCCCACTGTGTTCTCCAGCTCCACGCCTTAATGCACTGCCCACGCCTTTCCTTCCTACCCTCACTTTCCCCGCACCCATGGCCATCACATCTTTCGCACCCCTGTCTGTCCTCCCCCATTCAACCCTCCAACCAACCTCCCCTCACCATGTTCTCCAGCTCCACGCCGTACTGCAGCGCCCAGCGCAGTGAGACCGTCGCCCTTCCCTTCCCTCAACATGTCCCCTCTCACCCACGAACATCACAACCATCACAACTCTGTCTCTCCCCGCATTCCTCCTCTCACCGTGTTCTCGAGCTCCACGCCGTATTGCAGCGCCCACCGCAGCGAGTCCGGCAGCTGCAGCAGATAAGACAAAGCCAGCGCGGCCATGGCGGGCGGCAGCGAGTGGCGCAGCGCCACGGCGGCGAGGGTGGCGGAGAGCAGGGCGGCGGCAACGAGGAGGTCCAATCGGAAGCCCAGCCACTCCCACGTGGCAATCCAGAATAGGTGCGGGCTGGCGTTGGCGGTGACGTGGCAAAGGAAGAGGCGGTGGAAGCGGCGCTGCTGGGAGAAGGCCCGGATGGTCGTCAGGCCCTGGGGGTGGGGGGGGAGGGAGGGGGAGCGGGAGGGGAGTAGATACTTCTTAAGGTGAGCTTGAGAACTGCATGTACCAATGGATGCGCGCCTGGTGTCTGTGTGTGTGTGTGGGGAGGGGGGGGAGGGTGTGTGTGTGTGTGTGCGTGTGTGTGTGTGTGTGTGCATGCATTCATGTGTGGGGGAGGGAGCCGCAAACTTGTGATTCTCACCTACATGGTGGCGAGGAAGCGGGTGTGCAGCACGGAGCGAGTGGTGCACTCCATGCGTTGGACCTCCATGGCAGCGCACACATACAGCCGGCGCAGGTGCAGTGCAGCAGCAGCAGCAGCACTGCTTTGAGTCGATGCAGAACACAGCTCACCTCCATGGTGGCGAGGAAGCGGGCGAGCAGCACGGAGCGTGTTGTGCATTCCATACGTCGGACCTCCATGGCCGTGCACACGTACAGATGCCGCAGGTGCAGCAGCAGCAGCAGCAGCGGCAGCATGGGGATGAGTGTCCACGGCACAGCTATGCATGCCGATACCACCGCGGCAAAGCACAGGCCGAAGGGCTGCAGGCAAGTGGAGGACGGGGAAGGATAGTACGGGTTTAGCGGGAGTGGGATGATGGAGAATGGAGATGGGAGAGTGGGTGACTGGGAGTATGGTGGGAGGGAGCAACTTTGTGTATTCACGTGGTATCCAGCTGACATGAAACCCCTAACTCGTTTTGAACCCTCCTCAATCTTCCCTCCCTCCATCACGCTCCCCCACCCCTCTCTCGACCCTTCAACTCACATTGAGGAAGTCCAGCAGCAGCTGCGGAAGCGCATTGTCAGTCACCCCGAGGTCCTCACTGAAGCGGTTCAGCACGCGGCCCGTGGGGTTGGGTTGCAGTGAAATAACGCGAGCGGGGTGACTATTGAGTCAACTCACTTTGAGGAGACCCAGCAGCAGTTGCAGCAGCACGTCGTCTGTCACTCCCTCCCCTCCCCTCCCCCTACACCCCCACCCACACCCTTCAACTCACATTCAGAAAATCCAGCAGCAGCTGGGGCAGCACGTCATCAGTCACCCCGAGGTCCTCACTGAACCGGTTCAGCACGCGGCCCGTGGGGTTGCGGTTGAAGAAGGCGAGCGGCGACTTGAGTACAGACACCAGCATGAGTGAGTGCATGCGGGAGGAGGCTCTCAGCGCGGCAAAGTGAAGGAGCAGAGAGGCGAGGAGGGAGAGGACCACGCAAGACAGGGCGATGGCTGTGAGGGTGGCGAGCGGGCGGGGTGTGGTCTCGGGGGCCTCTGTCCACAAGCCGAGGAACCTTGGATTGGGGGAGGGGAAGGGAGGCGAGAGATTAGAGGAGGGAGAGGAGACCACGCAAGACAGGGCCAGGGCGGTGAGGGTGGCGAGCGGGTGGGGTGTGGTTTGTGGGAGGAGAGGGGCGGGGAGGGGCGGGGAGGGGAGGGGAGGGGAGGGGAGGGGAGGGGAGGGGAGGGGAGGGGAGGAGGGGAGGGGAGGGGAGGAGGGGAGGGGAGGGGAGGAGGGGAGGGGAGGGGAGGGGAGGGGAGGGGAGAGGGGAGAGGGCCACACAGGAGAGGGCGATGACTGTCAGTGTGACAAGTGGGTTGGGTGTGGTGTGGTACCAGCCTCCTCCGTTCTCAGGCCCCCCAGAGCCGTTGAGAGAGGCTGGTTTCGAACCGCTGCAAGCCTGCTAAGAATTTGAATCGATTTATATTACTGATTCTACGTTGCTGAAAAACGAGGGAAGTTGTAATCAAAAGTCTTTTAGTCAGAGAGCCACAAATGAATGTAGTCAGTGAGTAACGGCCCGGATGCGCGTGTGGACGCGTTTGCCTTTCCTCACCAGCTGACGAGAGCGTTGGAGACGTGTGCGGCGAGGAAGAGGGCGGCAAAGAGCAGCAGAGGCAGCACGCGTATCTTTCTGGCGTAGCCCCAAAACACCGACAGGGGGATGGCACCGCGCTGCCACCCTTCCACGTCCAGCAGGCCTGCAGGCACACACAGAGCGGTTTGGGGGTAGCGCGTAAGGGGATAGCGTGAAAGGGAAAGGGGGACGCACACCCAGTGATTGAAGCACACACACAGACAGGTTGAAGGCACCGCGCTGCACCCTTCTACGTCCAGCAGGCCTGCAGACACACACAGAGCGGTTTGGGGATAGCGTGGGATGAGACAGCGGCGGGAAACACACCTGCTTCCAAGGGATGGAAGCACGCGCACAGACAGGGGGATGGCGCCCCGCTGCCACCACTCCACGTCCAGCAGGCCTGCAAACACACACAGTGATTGTATGGTGGGGGGTGGAAAGTGAATAAAGGGCGGGGAGGGAGCGGACACAGTGGTCGTCCAGCAGGCCTGCAGTGCAAGCGCATGGAGTGACTGGGGATAGCGTGGGATGGGATAGGGGGGAACACACCCAGAGATGGAAGCACACGCACGGACAGGGGGATGGCACAGCACCCCGCTGCCACCCCTCCACGTCCAGCAGACATGTAAACACACTCAGCGATTACGTGGGACGGGATAAAGAAAGGGCGGGGAGGGGGTGGAAAGAGTGGTCATCCACCAGGCCTGCCTTCTGAGAGTTCTCAAAAGTCACTCGAATATGGCCTGCATGGTTTTTGAGAATTCTCTGGTTTTTGAGAATTCTCAAAAGTCACTCGAATATGGCCTGCATGGTTTTTGAGAATTCTCTGGTTTTTGAGAATTCTCAAAAGTCACTCGAATATGGCCTGCAGGCACACACCCTGGAGTTAGCGTGTGGGGGGGGGACAGCGGGGAGCACACCCAGGAATCGATGGAAACACACTCAGCGATTGCGTGGGACGGGCAGTTGGAGGGATTGGGATAAATGAATCTCATTTTTGAGTCGACTCAGAATTAGACTCATCAAAGCGGGAGCACACCCAGGGATGGGAGCACACGCGATTGTGTGGGACGGCCAGTTGGAGGGTTTGGGATACATGAATGAAGTCACGGTTGCCTGCCTACCTTGCTCGTCGCCTTCTGAGGAGCCACTCGCCTCCTCCTCCTCCTCCTCCTCCTGCACTCTCCGGAAGAGGGAGTAACTCCTTGCTGCAAATGGTCCTTTTCCTGACTTGTGCAACGAGCCCTTGGCACCCTGGCGCCCATGTGGGACGCTCTTCCCTTCACTGCATGCATCTTCCAGCCCCTTCACCCCCTCTGCTGTCTCCCCTTCTCTGCTGTCTCCGCCACTTCCTCTCAACGACGAGTCTCTTTGAATCGACTCAGAATTCTCCCCACGTGGGACACTCTCCCCTTCCCTGCATGAATCTTCCAATCCCTTCAACCCCTCTGCTCTCCCCGCCACATCTTCGCTTCCTCTCAACGGCGATGACCTTTGAACGCCCTCCTTGGCCGCCTCTACCCTCTCCACCTCAGCGTCTGTTCCTATGCGAGGAGGAGCGCACTCACAGGGACTCGTCCTTATGACGGGGCATTTATCTTCGCTTCCTCTCAAGGACGAGTCCCTGTGAGTGCACTCCTCCTCGCATTCTGCTGGTGCATCTGTGCTGTTACTCTCACAGCTCAAGTCGCGATCCACAGCGCTGCCACTGCCACTGCCACTGCCGCTGCCTGTGCAGCGCTGTGGGTGAGCAACGGTGGCAGCAGTGCTGTGTGTCAGCTCTGGCAGCGGCGGCACTGCAGCATCAGTGTTCGTGCTGCTGCTGCCAGAGCCAGTGACAGCGGCAGTGGCAGTGGCAGTGGCAGTGGCAGTGGCAGTGGCAGTGGCAGTGGCAGTGGCAGTGGCAGTGGCAGTGGCAGTGGCAGTGGCACAGACGGCACTGTCACTGTCTGGCCCCAAAGGGGGGTTGTCACAGTGTTGCTGAGCAACGGGCAGGGCACAGATGTCACTCCACACGCCACACACCGCTGCTCTGCCACCATCCAGCACCATCACTCTGTCGCAGCTGGGGATGTGGGGGGGGGAGGAAGGGGGCAGAATGGACACTGAGGGAAGCTGAGGAAGAGCATCAGAACAAGAGGCCGCAGGATTAGGGAGAGGGATCAAATGGGCAAGCCGAAGGAAAGAAGGTACATCTTCTGTGTGCATGGATGATTTCGAGCAGACAAAACACTTGTGGTGTGCACGCACGCGTGAATGGGACGCAACAGAAACGTACAGGCGCATGACCAGACACACCACAGGGGAAGGGCAACGAGCCCATATGCGAGTGCAAGTGTGTAAAAAGCGGCGGCGGTGCAAGTGTGCAATGGAGGGCGGTTCACTGTGCAAAATACTCCGTTCCCCTCCCTCATCAAATAATCCTCTGTTCCCACCCATCCCTTCCCCGCCACTACCGTACTGTTAGAACTGGAGCTTGAAATGGTACATTAGTAATGAGCTCAAAGCTTTTTAAGACATCAGAAATGAGCAAGGTTTAGATGAGGAGGAAATCGGGGGCAAACTCAAGGGGATCGGGGGCAATCCCAAGGCAATCTCCAATTGGTGGGTTGGAGATTGCTTGGTGATCACGCTTGGGTTTGGTTGGGATGTGGGTGTACACCCAACCAAACAAAAAGTGCAAACTACACTAGGCTAGGATATAGAAAGTACAAATACAAAAGTTGAGATTGAGGGCTAGCTCTAACACATACCTGCCAAGGTACTGCGCGTGGTGAGTGACGACAATCCGGGGCAACCCTGCCAGCAGCCCACACACGCACTGCTGAAACACGTGGCAGGCAATGGCTGGATCCAACGCGGCTAGCGGGTCGTCTAGGAGGACCAGCACGGGTGGGGAAGCACCCCTGCTGCTGCTGCTGCTGCTGCTGCTGCTGCTGCTGCTGCTAGTTCTCTTGCTGCTGCTATAGTTACCACCACTGTTTCCACTGCTGCTACCACTATTGCTGCTGCCATTGCAATCAGTGTATGCCTGAGGTGTGGCATATGCTGCCAGGGGCGACTTTTGCGTCGACTCAAAAGTCATCTTGCAGTGCAGGGCGGCATACGCCGCCCGGGCGAGCGACACGCGCGCCCTTTGCCCGCCACTAAGGTTGCCGCCGCCCTCCTCCACCAATGATTCGTCGCCACGTGGCAATAGGGCCAAGTCCGCGCGGAGCGCACAGGCGTCCAACACCTTCAGTGGGGGAGGGAGATAGCAAGAGAGAAGGGGGGGGGGGGGGGGGGAGAGAAGGGAGATAGGGGAGCAAGAGAGAGCGGGGAGGAGAGCGCAATGCGGACGATGTTTAAGGCACCTCAAAAGTCCGACGTTTGAGCACAGGACACACGCATCCACCACCTTGAGTGGGGGGGGGGGGGGGGGGGGCAGCAGAGTGTGCGAGGGGGAAGAAGGCATTAATAGACGTTCAGAGACGATAACTAGCAGAATGAGAGAGAGTGGCGAGGAGATGGAGGCGGGGAGGAGATAGAGGCGGGGAGGAGAGGGCAAAGGGGAGGAGAGGGCAAAGGGGAGGAGAGGGCAAAGGGGAGGAGAGGGCAAAGGGGAGGAGAGGGCAAAGGGGAGGAGAGGGCAGGGGGGAGGAGAGGGCAAGGGGAGGAGAGGGCAAAGGGGAGGAGAGGGCAAAGGGGAGGAGTGGGCAAAGGGGAGGAGTGGGTGATGGGGAAATGGGACTGCGGAGGGGAGCCTTAAGAGACGTTCAAACGCAAGATAGAATCAGGGCAGACCTACCTTGGCATGAAGTGTACCTTGGCATGAAGTGTACCTTGGCATGAAGTGTACCTTGGCATGAAGTGTACCTTGGCATGAAGTGTACCTTGGCATGCAGTGTACCTTGGCATGAAGTGCACCTTGGCATGCAGTGTACCTTGGCATGCAGTGTACCTTGGCATGCAGTGTACCTTGGCATGAAGTGTACCTTGGCATGAAGTGTACCTTGGCATGCAGTGTACCTTGGCATGAAGTGTACCTTGGCATGAAGTGTACCTTGGCATGCAGTGTACCTTGGCATGCAGTGCACCTTGGCATGCAGTGCACCTTGGCATGCAGTGCACCTTGGCATGCAGTGTACCTTGGCATGCAGTGCACCTTGGCATGCAGTGTACCTTGGCATGCAGTGTACCTTGGCATGCAGTGTACCTTGGCATGCAGTGCACCTTGGCATGCAGTGTACCTTGGCATGCAGTGTACCTTGGCATGCAGTGCACCTTGGCATGCAGTGTACCTTGGCATGCAGTGTACCTTGGCATGCAGTGTACCTTGGCATGCAGTGCACCTTGGCATGCAGTGTACCTTGGCATGCAGTGTACCTTGGCATGCAGTGTACCTTGGCATGCAGTGCACCTTGGCATGCAGTGCACCTTGGCATGCAGTGCACCTTGGCATGCAGTGTACCTTGGCATGCAGTGCACCTTGGCATGCAGTGTACCTTGGCATGCAGTGTACCTTGGCATGCAGTGTACCTTGGCATGCAGTGTACCTTGGCATGCAGTGCACCTTGGCATAGAGAGCCTCGTCTAGCGGTGTGCCGAATAGGATGTTTTCACGCACCGTGCCTTCGATGAGGAACGGCTGGTGGCATAGACGCACACCGGGGAAAGGGAGAGGAGGGGAGTGGAAGGGTGGGGGAGGTTTTAGTCGACGCAAAACTCGAATAGGATGTTGTCTCGCACCGTCCCCTCAATGAGGAGCGGCTGGTGGCATAGACGAGACACAAACGGGGGAAAGGGGAGAGGAGGGGCTGTGAGAGAGAGGAAGGTGGTTGGTGGTAGGTTGTAATATGCACAAGTGAGTCGAAGAGGTACGGGAGGACACAACACAGGGATGTGCCTTGTGCGTGGAAGGGAAAGGCTGGTACACATCAGGTCACTGGCAAAGGGTGCCAAAGGATGAGAGACGAGTGGGTAGGGAAGGGGTGAGAGAGAGACGAGTAGCAAAGGTTGAGCAGCAAATGGGAGGCAGACCTGCTGCGATGCGTAGGCGAGGGAGGGCACGGAGCGGTGCATGGCGCCGGATGAGAGAGGCACTTCCCCGAGGATACCCAGCAGCAGCAGTGACTTGCCACTGCCCGTCTGCGAGGTGGAAAGGGTGGGGTGGGAGGCAGTGTAAATGGCATGATCACATCGGTGTTTTCTTGAAGCCTGCATTACTGTCAAGTGCGATACTCAGCAGGTAGCACAGCAGGCAGCACAGCAGGCAGCACAGCAGGCAGCACAGCAGGCAGCACAGCAGGCAGCACAGCAGACAGTAGAACAGTCTGTGACAGCCAGAGGCGCACAACACGCACAAGGCACAGGCATGCCTTGCGGAACATAGCAGGACATAGCAGGCCATAGCAGGCCATAGCATTCCATGGCATTTTATAGCATTCCATGGCATTCCATAACAGGCAATCGCAGGCAATAGCAGGGCGCACGAAGCAACCAGCGGGCTTACCTTGCCAGTGACTCCCACGACCTCTCCCTCTCACCTTGCCAGTGACTCCCACGACCTCTCCCTCTCACCTTGCCAGTGACTCCCACGACCTCTCCCTCTCACCTTGCCAGTGACTCCCACGACCTCTCCCTCTCACCTTGCCAGTGACTCCCACGACCTCTCCCTCTCACCTTGCCAGTGACTCCCACGACCTCTCCCTCTCACCTTGCCAGTGACTCCCACGACCTCTCCCTCTCACCTTGCCAGTGACTCCCACGACCTCTCCCTCTCACCTTGCCAGTGACTCCCACGACCTCTCCCTCTCACCTTGCCAGTGACTCCCAGCAGCTCTGCCTCTCCCACCCTCACGCTCACTCCCTCCACCCGACCGCTCGGTGCGCGTGCACCGTCTATCTCAACATGCCCCTCTTGCTCCTCCTGTGCAGTCACACACGTGCCCTCCAAGGCAGCAGCACCAGCAGCATCAGCAGAAGCAGCAGCAGCAGAAGGGCCAACAGCAGGGGAAGGGCCAGCAGCAGCATGAAAGCTCATGAATCGCTGCAGGGAACGCGCGCGGAAAGCCTTGGGGATGCGTCGGAAACTCCTGACTCTGCTCATGTAGCCCTTGCCATAAGGCGTGCCATCGACCGTGCGAGGCTCGGTGACATCCAGAACATGCCCGGCCGATGCTTGAGTCGACTCGGCAATCGCCTCAAGCGCTTGCTTTTTCCTCCTTCCTCTGAATCCCTTTCCTCCTTCCTCTTTGCTCTCCCACTTCCCCTCGCCCTTAACCTCCCCGGCTGCTTCTCCCCAAGCAAAAGAAGCCCTTTCAAGCACCAAGGCAGCACGGGGGGGGCAGGGAAGGCGTGAGGGAGCAGAGGAGGAGAGGCTGTGGCTGGGCTGTGAGGCGAGCTCCGAGGATGGTGAGGACTGGAGACTCGGTGCTGGGGGGTGTATACTTGGTACTGGAGACTGGAGACTCGTTGCTGTGAGAGCAGCAGTTGTTGATTCATGTGGCTTGGTGGTGGTTGGGGTGTCAAGGGCATGGCAGCGCGCTTTTGGGAGCAGAGCAGAGCCATTCTGAGATGGCGCTTCTTGCTGCCTGGCTCCGTGGGGAGTGGTCTGTTGGAGTGAAGGTGGCACGCACAGGGAGGTGCATGTAGAGGCAGGCAACGGGGATGAGATGGCATTCAGTAAGCTGGACGAGCCACTCATCGCACCCACCCACCTATCCACCCACCCACCTACCCATACACATTGAGGCTTGCTCTCATCACCAATCGCACCTCATCACAACATTGCAACCGTTATTTGTGGTGCTCTAACCAGACAACAGGGCGTGCGCTGCAACGCGTTGATAGCGATAGGCGGTGAAAAGCCGAGAGAAGCGGTGCGTGGTTTCGAGTCGAGTCAAGAAGAATCGTTGCAAACGTGTTGGCCGGTAACAGTAGGCGGTGAAAAGACAAGAGAAGGGTGGGTGGGTGGGTTGGCAACAGCAAAGAGCACGCTGCTTCCTGCATGCTGACCTGCAGGAAGTGTGAGAGTCGCTTGAAGCTGACAAATGCCTCTGCTATTTGCTGTATGCCATAGGCCACCTTCCACCCCATGGTGTAGTGCGGGATCTGTGGGGATATGGTATGGAGGGGCGGAGGGACCGGAGGGAGGAGCGGAGGGAACGGAGGGAGGAGCGGAGGGAACGGAGGGAGGGGAGGAAGGGAAGTGTGGGGCATGTTAGTGGACTGTTTACAGAGAAGCAACGGTGCAACTGATTAGAAAGAAGCAACGGTGCACGATGAGATGACCATCCCACTCAGCTCAGTCACCCACGATTGTTGAGGCGCCTCAACGATTGCAACGGTGCACAATGGCCAGCAGCCCACGCGCCGTTGAGCAACGCATTCAATCCAATCCACTCCCCCATGCGCATTGATGAGTGGGCAGCGCTACTGTGAGTGAAAGCACGTGCACGTGTATGTATCCCGTCAACTCTGCTCGACTAAGGGCCCAGGAAAGACGCACCTCGAGGAGCATGAGCGAGCACGTATGCTTTTGAGTCGACTCAATAGGAGCATGAGCGAGCATGTAGAACACAGCGCCGCTGTGAGTTGGCCTCCGAGGCACGTGAGGGTGTTTATGAGGCGCCTCAAGAACTGAGTTAGCACGAAGCGTGAGCGCTCGGCTGAGGGGCACGGAAGCAAGGAAAGACGTACCTGGAGGAACGTGAGCGAGCATGTAGAACACAGCGGCCGCCGTGAGAGGTGCCCTCTGAGGCACGCTGTGAGAGATGCAGTTTTCCTTTCGGATGGCTCGATGGAGGTGCATGGAAGGGAAGCAAGGAGAGGTGCAGCGCACCTCGAGGAGAGTAAGCACGTAGAACACAGAGGCTGCGGTGAGTTGCCCTCCGAGGCACGTGAAGGTGGCGAAGGTGACGAGGGCGACCACGGAGGTGAAGGAGAAGTAGAGTGCAGCCGTCACGGCGTTGAGGGCGGCTGTCCACTGCAGGCTGCGTGGAAGACGAGAGGGGAGGATGGAGGGGATTTGTAGGTGACTTAGAAAGCCACCACGGAGGTGAATGAGAAGTAGAGTGCAGCCGTCACGGCGTTGAGGGCGGCTGTCCACTGCAGGCTGGCAGAAGGACGGACGGGGCGGATGGAGGGTGCAGGGCAGGGAGGTGGAGGGATGCTTTTTAGGCGGCTCAAAAAGCGTCCATCACGGCGTTGAGGGCGGCTGTCCACTGCAGGTTGGCATAAGGAAGGGCGGGGCGGATGGAGGGGATTATTGGGGTGCCTCAGAAGCAACCAGCGAGGTGAATGAGAAGAAGAGGGAGCCAATGATGATTCTGATTAGGAGCGGAGTCAATGACAAGGACTGTTCGAGAGAGAGAGAGGGGTTCTGCTTTTGAGTCGACTCAAAAGTGGACGGAAGGAGCGAATGCTGATTCTGATTAGGAGCGGAGCGGATTCAATGACAAGGACTGTTCGAGAGAGAGGGGGGGTGGAGGGGCGGGCGAGGGTGAGAGGGAAGAAGAGGGAGAGGGGAAAGCTTGGAACAAATGAGGGAGGGGTGGGAAGGGGATAGGGAGGGCAAAAGTGGTGGGAGTTGGAGGGGATGGACTCACAAGGACACTTCTGTGCGCCTGATTCGTTGGATGATTGCTGTGAGCGGCCCCTCCAGAGCCAGCGTCTTCACTGTCAGGATGCCGCCCAGAGCCTGTTGTGGGGCAAGGAAATGGGTGAGTGGGTAGGTGGGATTGTTGGGTGAGTGAGAGGGGACGAGAATTGAAGGATGTTAGGAGCATCCCTTCCAGAGCCAGCGTCTTCACCGTCAGGATGCCGCCCAGAGCCTGTTGTGGGGCAAGGAAATGGGTGAGTGAGATCGGACGGGAGTTGAAGGATGTTACGAGGGGAACACAAGGCAGGCAGGCACGTGAGAGGCCAAGGATATGCCATACTGCAGTGCAATTCCAATGACAGGTCGAGAACATACCTTTCTAACCTCCTCTCTTCCCCTCCCTCACCCAACCCCTCTCGTCCCCTCCCTCACCCAACCCCTCTCGTCCCCTCCCTCACCCAACCCCTCTCCTCCCCTCCCCCATCCAACCCTCCTCGTCCCCTCCCTCCCCCATCCCCACTCTTTCCCTCTCCCTCCTCCCCAACCGCCCACCTCCTCTGTGTGCTTGACGCGTGCATCTGTGGCCTCCGTCGTTTTTGCCCGCAGCCACACCCTCCACTTGCCACACGCCAGCTGGTGTTGCTCGGTTGTTCGGGGGTGGGGTGGAGGGAGGGGGGGGGGGAAGGGGAGGAGGAGTGGAGCACGTAAGGGGAATGGAGAGAGTGGCACATGGAGGACAGACGGGGAAGAGCGGGTGAGGCTGACATGTGTGCTTGACGCGTGCATCTGTGGCCTGCGCAGTTTTTGCCCGCAGCCGCACCCTCCACTTGCCACACCCCAGCTGGTGTTGCTCGGTTGTTCGGGAGGGAGAGAGAAGCGTGCATGTGGGAGAAAAGAAGCGGCTGACAAGGTGTGAGGGGGCAACCAGGCATGCTTGCGTTTTGAGACGTCTCAAAATACAACCTCTATCATTGTGCATGTGGGAGAAAAGAAGCGGCTGACAAGGTGCGAAGGGGCAATCAGGCATGCTTGCGTTGCAGGCACAGGCACATTAGTGAGGGGACATTCTTAGCCTTGTAGCACCCAGTTTCCACTACACATATAAGGACCATCTGAGAAAGAGAGAGGGGGGCCAAACCACGAATGCCAGTGACAACCACGCACCTGTAGCGGAAGAAGCAGCAGTTGAGTGCCAATGCCAGCGATGGTGGGCACCCATCCGATCTCCCTCGCTATAAGCCACGTGACCAACACAAGCTCGATTGGAGCCTGCACAACGACGGAAACAGGAAAGCAAGACGTACGCAGGGAGTCTGTATTTCCGCGCCTTACAATAAGCCAGGTGACACTGTGACAATCACGAGTTCCTATTGGGGCCTGCGTAACAACGGAAACAGGACAGAAAGACAAGCAGCCAGGGGGTCTGTTTTGAGGCGCAAAAAAATCAGCCAAGTGACCAACACAGGCTCTATCGGAGCCTGCGTAACAACGGAAACAGGACAGCAAGACAAGCAACCAGGGACGCAGGAACACAGGAATACGGAGAATGTGTGACGTGAAGACAGGCAGTCATTCACAAGAAAGGCAAGCAGCGTTGTTCGAATGGGTTTAGGGTAAAGGCAAGCAGCGTTGTTCGAATGGGTTTAGGGTAACGGCAGCCGCATTCTTCTTGACCTTGCTCCTATCCACTCCCTCTTCTCGTCTCCTTCACCCACCACCGCAGACCCCACTCCACGCCACTCCATTCCAAAGCCCTTCCCCAGACAGCCCCATTCCCCATCCCCCATCCCTGGCACCACTCCCAATCGTGCACTTTGCCTCACCACACAGAGAGCGCCTGGCTGCAGAGCACCAGGTCGTCCAATCCCCCATCCGCCATCCGTCATCCCTCACTCACCCCCCACCCCACCATGTGCCCCGCCTCACCACCCATAGCGCCTGCCCGCAGAACACCAGGTCGTCCAATCGGCGCACGTCATTGGACAGCAAATTGATGAAGTGAACGCTGCACCCCATCCCCCCATCCGCCATCCCCCACCAGTTTCCCCCCCCACCCCACCGTGCGCTTCGCTTCGCCTCACCACCCAGAGCGCCTGGCTGCAGAACACCAGGTCGTCCAATCGGCGCACGTCATTGGACAGCAGGTTGATGAAGTGAACGCTGCACCCCATCCCCCCATCCGCCATCCCCCACCAGTTCCCCCCCCCACCCCACTGTGCGCTTCGCTTCGCCTCACCACCCAGAGCGCCTGGCTGCAGAACACCAGGTCGTCCAATCGGCGCACGTCATTGGACAGCAGGTTGATGCAGTGCCCGCTGCTGACGTGGCTCAGCGCACTGGCGGTGAGCGTGAGGAGGTGACGATGCACTGCAGGGGAGACAGTGGGTGTGAGAGGGGAGGGGAGGAACATCAAGTTGACTTTCAAAACGAATCAGAAGTCATCATCGCTTATTGTGACACACACTTTCTTCCAAGAGGAGGTGACGATGCACTACAGGGGAGACAGTGGGTGTGAGAGGGGAGGGGAGGAAGAGCGAGTTGACTTTTGAGAGTGGGCGGGGAGGAAGCAGAAGTGGAGTGGATGGGGAGGAAGCAAATGTGGGCGGGAGGACAATCGGGGAAAGGGCTGAGGGGGATGGACGGAAAGAAACAGAGGCCCGTTGTGGCCACCGCCAGTGAATTTTGAGGCGCCTCAAACGCTCCCTCTCCTCACCTGCACTGATGGCGGCGGTGCGAGTGTTGGTGGAGACAACATATGCGCGGTAGCACAGCTGCTGGGTCACCACGGCCAGCACCACCGCCAGTGCCACTGACTTTTGAGGCGCCCCAAACTCTCCCTCTCCCTCTACTCACTGACCTGCGCTGATGGCGGCAGTGCGAGTGTTGGTGGAGACGACATATGCGCGGTAGCAGAGCTGCTGGGTCACCACGGCCAGAGCCACCGCAACTGCGCCCATCCCTGCTGCCGTGAGGTAGCCCTCCGTGGGCCCACACTGTCCTGCCTCGCTGCTGCTGCTGCTGCTGCTGCTGTCACACGCTTCCAGGTAGGCGACCTGGTGGAGGGGAAGGAAAGGGGAGGGGAGACGTATGCGCGGTAGCAGAGCTGCTGGGTCAGCGCGGCCAGCGCCACTGCCAGTGCGCCCAGCCAGCCCTGCTGCTGTGCAGGGAGTTTTTGAGAATTCTCAAAAACTCCCTGCAACGTGAGATAACCCTCAGTGGGCCCGCACTGCCCTGCCTCGGCGGCCGCTGCTGCTGCTGCCACTGCTGCTGCTGCCGTCACTGCTGCTGCTGCCGTCACACGCTTCCAGGTAGGCGACCTGGTGGAGGGGAAGGATGGGGCAGAGAGGATTGATGGAGAGTGCGGAGGAGTGGGGGAGAGGAGAGGAGGGGTATGGTTTTGGAAATGATGAAGCGTAAGAGGCTCGTCATTCACACGATTATATACGCACATTCACGCCTGCACGCACACACGCAGTCACCATGCAATACAGCAGCACTCACAATGCGATACAGCAGCACTCACTATGCAATACAGCAGCACTCACTATTTGAGACAGCAGCACTCACGATGCGATACAGCAGCACTCACTATGCGATACAGCAGCACCCACTATGCGATACAGCAGCACCCACTATGCGATACAGCAGCACTCACTATGCGAGACAGCAGCACTCACGATGCGATACAGCAGCACTCACGATGCGATACAGCAGCACTCACGATGCGATACAGCAGCACTCACGACGCGATACAGCAGCACTCACGATGCGATACAGCAGCACTCATGATGCGATACAGCAGCACTCAAGATGCGATACAGCAGCACTCACTATGCGATACAGCAGCACTCACAATGCGATACAGCAGCACTCACGATGCGAGACAGCAGCACTCAAGATGCGATACAGCAGCACTCACGATGCGATACAGCAGCACTCACGATGCGATACAGCAGCACTCACTATGCGATACAGCAGCACTCACGATGCGATACAGCAGCACTCATGATGCGATACAGCAGCACTCAAGATGCGATACAGCAGCACTTACGATGCGATACAGCAGCACTCAAGATGCGATACAGCAGCACTTACGATGCGATACAGCAGCACTCAAGATGCGATACAGCAGCACTTACGATGCGATACAGCAGCACTTACGATGCGATACAGCAGCACTTACGATGCGATACAGCAGCACTTACGATGCGATACAGCAGCACTTACGATGCGATACAGCAGCACTTACGATGCGATACAGCAGCACTTACGATGCGATACAGCAGCACTTACGATGCGATACAGCAGCACTTACGATGCGATACAGCAGCACTTACGATGCGATACAGCAGCACTTACGATGCGATACAGCAGCACTTACGATGCGATACAGCAGCACTTACGATGCGATACAGCAGCACTTACGATGCGATACAGCAGCACTCACAATGCGATACAGCAGCACTTACGATGCGATACAGCAGCACTTACGATGCGATACAGCAGCACTTACGATGCGATACAGCAGCACTTACGATGCGATACAGCAGCACTCAAGATGCGATACAGCAGCACTTACGATGCGAGACAGCAGCACTTACGATGCGAGACAGCAGCACTTACGATGCGAGACAGCAGCACTTACGATGCGATACAGCAGCACTTACGATGCGATACAGCAGCACTCAAGATGCGATACAGCAGCACTTACGATGCGATACAGCAGCACTTATGATGCGATACAGCAGCACTTACGATGCGATACAGCAGCACTTACGATGCGATACAGCAGCACTTACGATGCGATACAGCAGCACTTACGATGCGATACAGCAGCACTTACGATGCGATACAGCAGCACTTACGATGCGATACAGCAGCACTTACGATGCGATACAGCAGCACTTACGATGCGATACAGCAGCACTTACGATGTGATACAGCAGCACTTACGATGCGATACAGCAGCACTTACGATGCGATACAGCAGCACTTACGATGCGATACAGCAGCACTTACGATGCGATACAGCAGCACTTACGATGCGATACAGCAGCACTTACGATGCGATACAGCAGCACTTACGATGCGATACAGCAGCACTTACGATGCGATACAGCAGCACTTACGATGCGATACAGCAGCACTTACGATGCGATACAGCAGCACTTACGATGCGATACAGCAGCACTTACGATGCGATACAGCAGCACTTACGATGCGATACAGCAGCACGGCTTTGACCACATGAAGCATCGACTCCCCGAGAAACATCACTGCCAGCAGCAACAGCGCCCACCGGTGCGGCCAGTACAGAGCCGCCCAAAACGGCCACTTCCGTGTGTCCTCTGCCCACTTCCGCCTGCCCCTGCCCCCTGCCTTCCATCCGCCCGACACCACCAACTGACCGCTTCCGTTCCCCTCCCGCCTTCCCCCCTGCTCCCCTTCACACTGCTCCTCCTCCTTCCGCCCCCATTCCCCATGCTCCTCCCTCTTCCGCCCCCTCTCCCCCTGCTCCCCGTCCATTATGCGCGCCGTTTGTGCGTCCAGCCAATCCGCGCGCCAGGTGCGCGGGGGCGGGGGGAGGTCCGCCGACTGCAGCGTTGTGCGCGCGCCCAGGCGCATTGTGGGGGTCACCTGCGCGCGCGCAGCATTGGTTGGTTTCGTTGTGCGTGGGGGAAGGGAAAGGGAAATGGGTAAGGGAGGGGGCGGAATTGGAGGTGAGAGAGAGGCAAGTAAGTCGCACACACACACGCTAGTAGTGAGTGAGCTGCCTAGCAAGCAGGCTACGCCGAAGGAAGCAAGGAAGAAAACGAGTGACTTGGGTGGAACTGGGCTGCATCCAGCAGAGCATGCAGCAGCCGAGCATGCAGCAGCCGAGCAGGCTGCATGCACGTGACCCACCCACCCATGCGAACGTCAATGCCGACCACAGGCTCGGCTCTCCATCGTCTCCCTCGCCTTCCCCCGCCTCCTCCTCCCCCTCCTCTTCCGCCTCCTCCTCCCCCTCCTCTTCCGCCTCCTCCTCCGCCGCCTCCTCCTGGAAAATGTCAACAGCAGGAGCAGCATTGGTGCCTTGGCCATCACCGACGGCTGTCGTTTCTATCACCGGAGCCGCGCCGCCATCCTCGCAATTGTCGCATGCCCCTGCGAGCAGCAACCGCCCATCCTCCTTGTCGCAAATGTCGCCCGTGGTTATTGTCACGTCGTCGAAGTAACGCGTCTCGCTGACGCTCCGATCGGCTACAGCAATGTCGGTTCGCGGCTGCTTCTGCTGCCGTTCTAAATCCGGAGATAGTGTCATCTCGCCTCCGTCCGTTGAATCAAAACTTGGGGGACACTTTGCGGGGTTATAACACCTCGCTACCCACTGGGTCAAAACGAGGGTCCGTGTTAGATGCAGGCGTTACAGGAGTGGTGAGCGCCGACGACTAAGCCGGTGCTGCTGAGGCGAGTCGCCGCGCCCCTTGACTGTCGCTGTACAGCGACAGATAGGAATTTGACAGTCAGTCTATCCGGCAGATATGAATTTGATAGGAATTCGATGTTGCCGTGTCGCTTGGTTGCCTACGTCGGACAGTTACCCGGAATTTGACTGTCAGTCTATCTGCCAGTCATTCAGTCAGTCTGTTTCTGGGCCGTTTCGTCTCAAACGTAGCTGGCCGTCCAAAGAGAGTGAGCGACGATGGCGGTTCTGTTTACTCGCTTCAAACGAAACGGTATCGTCTATCTCAATGAATTAAGTGTGTAGTCTGATGACCCGAGGAATGAAGTTCGTCCTTTTGCCACGAGACGCCGGTATCGCCTATCGCCGCGAGACTCTCATGGACGTCCCAAAAACGAAATCCGATACGTTATGATAATGCTGCATGAATCGTGCATGAGTCCCGCTATGCACCTCTGGTGGACATGAAAAAAGGCCACCATGATGCATTGCTGAACGGGGGATACCTGAGCGAACATGAGTTCGCTCGCGCACACACATGCGTTTCTTGCCTCTGGAGGCACAATGGACTGACTGAGGCAGAGGCAACTCGAGGATGATCGCTGCAGGAATCCACCCCACCCCACCCACAGAAGAAAATAAATGGTGAGACGGCAACAATGGGTATAAAGCATGTCTGACATTGCCGTTGTGCTGGCGTCTCACGCATGATTGTTTTACAGATCTGTTCAGGCGGGTAATTAACGGTTTAAAGCGGTGACGCGTACAGACCGCTCAGAAGCTCATCATCGCTAACCGTTTGAACTGAACGAAAAAAGCAACCTTTAGTCACGCCTTACTAGTCACATCCCTGGAACAGAAACATCTAAACACAGTGTTTATCTTCTCTGGACTAAACACCTAAATAACTAAAACCCTTAGGAAGGCAGGAATCAACTCTACACATCATGCAAAAGGTGTTCAGGGTTGATGCCACCCATGCTTGCATGACTTTCACCCGAGGGTTTATTTTGTTTTGCCCCGGGTAGCAAGCTTGCTGGGCGGAGTCGTCTGTATATACCCTATTATCAACAAAAAAAAACACTCGAACGGCGCTTTTCAACTTGCATATTTGTTGTTTATTCCAACTCCATACCAAACCCATTGTTACGCTCGCTCCCACAGTTGCTTTGTGTATTCACAACATAAAGGACATTCAGATTTGCTGCTCCACCTGAACAATGCAACAGGTACACTACCACTGTATGACAAGCAGACTGACTGTCCTGCTTGTGCAGCCCGAGAGTATGCTGCTCTGTTTGCATAGAGGAGCACAAAAGGAGCACCTAAAGTGTATGAGTGAAACCGTGGGAGGGCAAGCAGCTTCCAACCGTGCCACCACAGAGTGCAGCATCGAGGGTGACGTTTCAGTGGACTCAGAAACCTTATGGAGTCAGGGTGTCAGTGGGAAGGCAAGCAGCCCGAGCTGTGACACCGCATCCCGCAGCACTCGAGGTGACTTCCAGGTAGACTCAACGCCCTACTTATGAAGCAACCAGGCTGTCAGTGGGAGGGCATGCAGCTCCCAGCCGTGCCACCACACCCTGCAGTACTTGCTTCCTGCTCAATCGGAACTGCACCGCTGTTACCTTCTCCTCCAGCACTGGCAGCAGCACTGCACACCTGCACCGCACTCCCATCACTGTCATCCTCTCCCCTCCCAACCTCCCTCCTCTCGACCTCCCTCGTTTCAACCTCCCTCCAGTTGGCCTCCCTCCTGAGAGTGTCTCTCTTGCCCCGCGTCTCCCCCTCTCCCCATCTCCACTACCTCCTCTCCGCCACTCCTCACAACCCCTCTCAACCTCCTCTTCCTCCCTTCGCCTCCTCTCCTCGTCGTCGCCCCTCCCTTCCACCTCCTCGCCTTCCTTTACTCCCTCTCCCTCTGTGTCTCCCCTCCTTACCTCCCGTCTCCCACTCTCCTCTCTCCTTTCCCTCTCCTTGCACCGCTCCAGCTCCCTCAGGATCGCTTCGTCCTCTTCTATGCCGGTCGGCATCTGCTGCAGCCGCGCCTGCGCTAGCAGACGAACGGTGTCGGCCGCTGCTTGCAGGGCGGGCAGCATGTCAGGGGCGGGCGAGGAGAGGAACCGGCAGGAGCTGTTGCTGACCGCCCACCCCAGGTAGACCGCTGAGCTGGTTAACACTGTAGGGGGGTCTGTGTGTGTATAAGGGGGGATGGAAAAAGGAATGAAGCAGCATGTCAGGGGCGCGGAGGGGGGTGGGGAGAAGAGGAACCGAAACGTACTGTTGCTGACGGCCCATCCCAGGTACACTGCTGAGCTGGTCAACACTGCAGAAGATCTGTGTGTTTGGGGAAAGGGGAAGAGGAGGGGGAGGGCGAGGAATCAAATTGGGCTCCACAAGCCCTTTTGCCCACACCGCCCTCCTCGTCTGCCTCACCTGTCTGGTGCTGGAAATAGCAGTGGTGCCACGGCCAAAGCCCCACCTTTTCCATGCTGCAGAGAGTAGATCATCACAGAAAGGTCCAGAGAACGCACACACCTCGTTGATGCTGCAGAAAGTAGAATGGAGCAGCAAGCGCACCCGCCTCGTTGATACTGCAGATGGTAGAACACAGCAGCAAGAGCAGCAATGAGATTGAGCTCCACGAACCCTCTCGCCCACACCGCCACGCCCATACCCACCTCCCTGCCCGCCTCACCTGTCCGGCCAGAGATCGCACCTCGCTGATACTGCAAGTAGTAATACACAGCAGCAAGGGCAGCGATGAGATTGGGCTCCACGAGCCCTCTCGCCCACACCGCCACGCCCACCCTGCCCTCCTTGTCCGCCTCTGTCCTCTCCTCCACGCCCCCCAGCACCTCCTCCACCTCGCTCACTCTCCTGATCCGCTGCATCAGCTCAAACGGTGGGCCGCCACTCTCAGCTGCGCTGTAGAACTTCCCGCCCTCCTCCTCTCGCTCCCTCACCACGGCCTCCACTGCCCGCGCTGCCACCCGCCACAGCTGCCGCTTCAGCCGATGCAGTGGAATAGTCGTGCGCTCAGGTTCTCCCTCCCCGCTTCTCTCTCCACCGTCAATTAGCCACGCACCCGCACCAGCACCAGCACCAGCACCAGCACCAGCACCAGCGCTCCCCCACACGCGCAGCAGCTTCTGCTTAATCTCTTCCCGCCAAGGAATGGAAGAGGGGGTGGGTTGAATGCGAGGGGAAGGGCTGGAAACACTGCCAGCTGTAGCATGAACTGTTGCCCCGGCTGCATTGGCCGCTGTAGCCTCACAAGTGGCGGCTGTAGCAGCATCAGCAGTACTGCACGTGTGCTTCACTTCACTGGAGCCAGCAGGCGCAGCAGCAGCAGGGCAGGCAGCAGCTGCAGCAGCATCACATGCAGGCTTCGGCTTGTGCTCTGCAGCAGCAGCAACACAGCGGCCTCTGCTTCTCTCCTCATTCGCCACACCACCACAAACATCATCGCCATCACCACCACGACCAGTTGTTATGTCATCCTCTCCTTCTCCTCCCGCTCCTCCCTCCAACCCCCTCTGTCCCTCCTCCTGCTGCACTGCTAGCTTGACCCCTCGCTGCTGCAAGCCTCCATGATTTGCCGCTTCGAATTTGCCACCCCCCTTCTGCTGCTCCCTATGGTGGCGGATGAGAGCCACAACAAGGTGAACAGCGTGGGAGAGCGAGGGCAGCAGGGGGGCGTGGTCGAACATGTTCCCCGGCAGCACGAAGCCATACGCCTCCAGCAGGTCCTCGTTGCCCCGCAGCCCGTAGCTCGTGCTCACCTCCTCTCCCCGCGCCACAGAGACTGTTGCCCCAAACTCAAACGTTGTCCCATCGGCTCCAAACTATGGGCGTGGGGTGGGAAGGGGTGAGGGAGGCAGGGAGGAGGGAGGGAGGGAGGGAGGGAGGGAGGGAGGGAGGGAGGGAGGAAGGGAGGGAGGGAGGGAGGGAGGAGGGAGGGAGGGGAAAACAGGTAAGCGGGGTGGGGACAAACGGGGAATGGAGAGCAAGGGCAGCAGGGGGTTGTGGTCGAACATGTTCCCCGGCAGCACCAAGCCATACGCCTCCAGCAGATCCTCGTTTCCCCGCAGCCCGTAGCTCGTGCTGACCTCCTCGCCCTGACTCACCCCAGATGTTGTCCCAAACTCAAACGTATCCCCATCAGCCCCAAACTCAAACGTATCCCCATCAGCCCCAAACTCAAACGTATCCCCATCAGCCCCAAACCCAAACGCTTAATGAACGGCGGGAAGAACGGCCACAGTCGCTGCTGCAGCTCAAGCAGCTGCCAGTCGTCACATGTGACCACCCCGCGGCAGATCGACGCGCCGCAGTGGCAACTGAAGTTGTCGCTGCTGGTGCGGACGATGCCTGCGTTGGTGCTGCCGTAGTCGATGCTCAACTCCTCGCCTGGCGCGATGTCCCGCAAGGCCACCACCGTCACCGAGTCTTCCAATTTGCAGTTTGGGTCGCACGAGTGGTTGATGACATCGGGCGTCTCGGGCCCACGCGTCGGATGCGGCACCTGCCAGAGGTGATCGCTGACTCGCAACGAGAGCTCTCGTATGCGCTCGTCGCTTCCCAGCAAATATTCGAGGCCAACCAGCTTGCCGGCGAAAACGAGAAGCGGTTCGCCACGTCGGATGTTCGCCAATGCGAACAGCCCCTTGAAGGCATCCGCGCCGCGGCCCTTGTAACGAGTCACTACGCGCGGGTCGTACCACCCCGACTCGGCCATCTTCCGTTCAATATGAGCCGAGCAGTGGCCGGCGAACCGCCGCTGCCAGTCGTGCGAGCGCCATTCGGTGAATGTGAGCGTTCCGCGACAGCACGCGGCGCCGCAGCGGCAGTGCAGGCCGGCATGCATGCTACCCTCCGTCTCCGTGCAGGCGTAGTCGTACGTGACGTGCTCACCCGGGCGGATGTCGCGCAAGGCGACCATGCAAGTAGGGGTAGCGTACCATGTGTTGGGGTCGCACGAGTGGTTGTAAAAAAAGCTCGGGTCTTCGTCGGGGTCCGTTATCGTGTCGTACATGTCGTCACCGACCATGTACGAAAAGTGAATCATCATTTCGCGCTTCTTATGATCGGGTTCCGCTGATAAGTCACGAGCGTGGTACACTCGCCGCGCAGCGGCCTCTTCTTCGTCCCACTCGCAAACGACCTCGCCTCGTGCGATAGAGCTGCGCGCGAACAGCCCGCGGCATTGGAAGCCGTAGAGCTGGTGCTCTCGCACGACGATGTGCGGGTGGAGACCCATGATGGAGGAGCGAGAACGGTTGGAGGATGAGTGTGTGTGAAGTGTGCAGTCTGATGACGGGAGGAAATGGTGCGCTAAATAAGTTATATCGTTGCTTGAACGTTGAGACTGATGCAAAACGCCGTGAGACGCTGTATTTATGGAATCTAGGGGAATTGGTGTGGAGGCGCGATACACTGAACGAAGGCAGAGGCCCTCAAGGTGAGGTGGAGGAACTGGAAGTCACTCACAGAAAAAAGTTCGCGTTCCAAACGAAGTTCGACCCCATCGCCCAACGAAAGGCGGAGGGCCTCGAGGTGAGGTGGAAGCGGAAGCCAATCACCCACCTCGTATGATCGCGTTCCAGGGTCGCCCCCATCCGCCTAGAAGGAGGTCCTTGACGTGAGGTGATGGAATCGTAAGCCGATTATTCACTACCATGATCGCGTTCCAGTCTCCAGTCCAGATGATGATCGCACACATCCGCCCAGAACAAAGGCAAAGCCTTTTCAAGGTGAGGTGAATTGCAAGTCGATCATTCACCGAAGTGATTGACTTAGGATTCCAACCAGCACGTTTGTTGTACATTCTTTGCGGTCTTATTCGTTATGTCACGATGCAAAACGGTGTGTCTAGAAGACGTTCTACACCGTTTAGAACCGTACGAGCTGCAATCCCCCTACCTTCGCGCTCCGGACGATGACCGCGTTCCAGTGATGACATGCATGCTTGGAGGATTGTCAGTTGTGTTGGGTGAAGTATGACGCTCGCAACCATCGCAGAATGTCGTGGGAATCAATCGCAGGTTCGCAACCAGTACCTAGGCGCCCCATCCTCTCTTTTCGTTGCCAGGTCAGACATCTGATCATCACCCATCGCCTGGAACACGATCGTGTGTGTGGAGGAATCGTGGACTGGAACACCGAATGAGTGATTGACGTGTGACATCTTTCCGCATGGGCAGAGCAAGGAGGCCGTATTCTGAGAAATCGATACAGAACGTAGGATTTCTCGATCCGACGGTGAAGATGGGAATTGAAAGATCGTCATTTCCGCAACTCACGCTTGTTGTGAGTCAGTGGAATCGCGTTACGACCAGTACTGTTCCATGGTTTAGGCGTGTTACATTTTCCGAACTCGCTGAAAGTCCGGACGGCTGTCCGGACATGTGTGAACAATGTGACTCGCATGGTCGTGTTGCGATCAATGCAACGTCGTAAGGAGGCAACACGAAGATTGCGACGTCATTTCGAACCTGACGAACTCCCCATCGAGATTTAACGAGTTCCGTAACCGTCCGGACGAAAAAATGAAACATGTAACAGCCCTTACATCCCCAGGCGCAACCCATGGATTTGAATCTATCTCAAATCTCCTCGGTCGACGAGCAGAATTTTCAACCTGCCAGTCAGCCTCTCCTACACTCTACTCTCTAACACTCTAGCTGCTGCCACTGCTGCTGCCAGCCAGCCTCTCGAACAATCGAATCAACCAAGCTCTTTTTTCTTCACAACGTGAGTGACAAAGAATCTCACGCATCAGCCCCTCTTCTCGACGCGGTAGCTTATCGATTCAACACGACGATCCGAGCTATACTGGCTATATTACACGGAGGAGCGACCCATCGCGTGAAAGAATAACTGAGAAAGACGATAGCCAGAAAGGAGTCTAACAGAACAGATACCGCTGCTCACTAACTATTGAACAAGCAGCCACGTGCGAGTTATTTCTATCCAATGCAGGCTGGAGAGACCCTCAGTTCAGTCGAAAGGGAGAAGATCGACGGAATGACAGACAGACAGACATACTGGCTGTAGCAAGCAGGAAATCCCGTCTTAGGCAGCCAGCAGCACCCCAGTCGTCAGCACTCAGCACCCCGGCGCCAAGTGTCTCCCACGTTGCGATTCAGCAGCACCCCGAGTCAAGTTCCGGTGGCGGGATGATGTTATCCCTGGACTTGGATCAGCAGCAGCCAAAGCAGCAGCGAACCGGCAATCACGCTGTGGCCGTTGATCTGAACGTCAGCGAGACGCGTTACTCTGACGATGCGACGATTATCGGCGACATTTGCGACAAGGAGGAAGGACTGCTGCTGCTCGCAGCGGCACGCGACAGTCGCGAGGATGGCGGCGCATCGGCGGCAGAAGCGACAGCCGCGGGCGGTGACCACCGCAGCAGCAGCGGTTGCGCTGCTGCTGCTGCTGGTGCTGATGATTTCGAGGAGAGGGAGGAGGAGGAGGAGGAGGAGGAGGAGGAGGAGGAGGAGGAGGAGGAGGAGGAGGAGGAGGAGGAGGAGGAGGAGGAGGAGGAGGAGGAGGAGGAGGAGGAAGGCGAGGGAGACGATGGAGAGCTGAGCCCGTGGTCAGCGCTGACGTTCGCATGGGTGAGTGCGCTGCCTGCTTGGAAGTGGCTGGTCCATCCAAGTCACTCGCTTTCTTTCCTCGCTTCCTTCGGTGCAGCGTAGGCAGCTTAGGTTGCGTGTGTGTGACTCTCTTGCCTCTCATCTCCAATTTCGCCCCCTCCCTTCTCTCTAACCGCCCCCTCTCTTCCCCTGCCTTCCCCCTCCCTCCCCCTCCCTTCCCCGTGCACAATGAAACCAACCAACGCCGCGCCGCGCGCAGGTGACCCCCACAATGCGCATGGACGCGCGCAAAACGCTGCAGCTGGCAGGCCTCCCCCCGCCCCCCCGCACCTGCCGCGCGGAATGGCTGGACGCGCAAACGGCGCGCTTGCAAGGGGAGGGGCGGAAGGAGGAGGAGCACTGGGAAGGGGAGCAGGGGACAAGGGGTGGGTGGCGGGGAAGCGGTGAGACGGTGTTGACGGGCGGATGGAGGGATGGTTGCGCCGAAAGTGCGGAGGCCGGCGTTGGTCGGATGGATGGTGCGGCGAGGCATCTTAAAACTCGGGCTGATGGGGGGATGGTTGCCCCCAGGGGCACGCGATGGTCTCGTGCGGTGACCCGCGTTGGTCGGCTGTGGGCGGGGGGCTGGCGGAAATGGCCTTTTTGGGCGGCTCTGTATTGGCCGCACCGGTGGCAGCTGCTGCTGCTTGCAGTTCTGTTTCTCGGGGAGTCGATTCTGCAAGTAATCAAAGCCGTGCTGCTGTATCAGATAGTGAGTGCTGCTGTATTGCATGGCGAGTGCCTACGTTGGTGAATCGCGTTTCGCGTGTAGTATGCAAGCGTATATACGCCAAACGCTGCCCAAAAGGGGGTATGGTACGCACAGCCGAATGCATGCCCGGGCAGGTAAAAAAACTTTCCGGCGAGGTGCTAAGCACTCGCAACCCTCGTCTCGTTTTTACGAACATCCTCAGCGGAACTACAGCGCGCCTTCGCAGCCAGGACAGGGGAAGGTGTTGCTGCAGGAGTGAGGTCATCGTGAGCTAGAAAGGGAAGAACAGGAGAGGATGTTCATCGAAATGAAGAAAAGGCCCGTTATTATGCTCGGCAAGTAGTGCTGGTTGGGGAGACTCATCATCCACTGGACAACACAATGGAGGGAATTGGGAGTGGATGTGGGGTGGAGGGGGTTGTCAAGCGGTGGAGGTGAGGGGATGACGGGCATTTGATTTTCAAATTCAAGGTTGAAATCGCGATGTGCGAGATTCAATTTCAGTTCGCCACGTCCCAGCCAGCCTGCACACGTTTGGGCCTATCTACACCCAAATCGCAAATTGTGTGGGCGTATAAACGCTATACAAATTTCCAACTAAGTTGAGGTCTTTTGCAGTCACATGGTGAGAGCACAATGCACCAGTGAGTGAAAAGTTTACATGTGCATGCATGAGTGGTCGCACGTAAGTATTTGCCAGTACGAAGAGTTTCTTACACTTGTCACTTTCCTCTCTTAATTGCTCCCACTCTCCATTGTTTGTAAAGCTCAGCCGGAATCCACTGAGCTAAAATGGCTCG